TACTTTATTAATCCCAGAGGGAAATTAAATGTAGTATTATAAGTAATAGTTAGTTATATAAGTAAATCTAGAATAAAGTAAATCATAAAAGAATAAAGTAAATGGTTGCAAACTTTTGTTTGTAATGTTAATCAGAATTTGGTGAAATTTCAAACATTATAATTAAAAATAAAGCATATTTTTAAAAGTTGTTATTACACAGACAATGAATTGATATTTTTAAATTCTCTAACCTCTGAGTAGCTAGAAATGTTTGCAACTCCCCCGTGCTCTCTAGCACCCCACCATGGGGGTCGGGTGTCCAAAGCGAGATTATAATTTTACCATTACCTTTTTTATTTTTTAGTCTTTACATAGAAAACATTAATCATAAAAAAATGCAAAAAAATAAAAGCTTGAAATATTAGACTCTATGTAATGAATCTCCATAAAATGTCCGTTTCACTTTCCAAAATATGGAAGTTTGTCAGTTTGTGCTAGGGGTATGACAATCTGACAAAGTATCACTAACCGACAGATACAGCTATCAGTTTGTGCTACCGGTATGACAATCTGACAAAGTATCACTAACCGACAGAACACCGGTGTTACACCATACTCTGTGACCTGCAAAAGTGTAACACCGCCCCCTACGGTCATACGGTGGTCACATAATATGACGTCACTACGGATACTCCATGTTAAATTTTTAACCTCGATAGATGTCCTAGCAATCGATGTGTAGATTACTCGAGTACTATGTTAATGCCCTAAGTGACCAAACAGAAATCATCCTTGTTGGTACCAAAAACTCTATTTCAAAAGCAGAACATCTTCTCATCCCCCTTAACAACTCTCTATCACCCTCGCATCAGATTAAGAGTCTCGGTGTCATCCTTGACACCACTCTCTCCTTCACTTCACACATCAACAATGTTACTCGGTCTCTCTATTTCCATCTCCAAAATATTAACCATCTCTGTCCTCATCATCTTCAAAATTCTTCTTCTCACTTTCAAAGCTATCCACAGTCTTGTCCATCCGTACCTATCTGACCTCCTACACATCTCCATCCCCTCTCGCTCTCTCACATCCTCCTCCTTGCTACACCTCCATGTACCCTCTGCTCGTCTCTCCACCATGGGAAGCAGGGCCTTCACCTGCTCTGCTCCTCACCTCTGAAACTCTCTACCACCAGACCTACGAAACACCACCTCTCTTTCTCTGTTCAAGACTACTCTGAAAACACATCTCTTTAGACTAGTTTATCCTTCTTAACTTTGTTTATTGTATTTTATATTCTTTATGTATTTTATATTTCAATTTTTCCCTGTTGGTCGTTGCACTGTGTTTGTTTTTACACAATCTTATCTGATATGTTTCTTGCTGTAAATTGTCCTTGGGTGTCCTGAAAGGTGCTTCTTAAATGAAATTTTTATTATATATTATTATTATAATGCTGTTATTGCTAGTATCACTCAGCCCTCTGTGAATAGCAAGCAGCCATCAGGACACTAATGATCAGTCATTAGGCTGATGGTCCTCCTTTATCAAGTGAACAGCTAGTTCTTTTTGATCCACTATGAGAAGGTGGTCTTTATCAGACTGAGTTTATTGCAGCTCCTCAGACTGATGAAGTGTTTTGGATAAAAGATTAAACACTTCAACACTTTATTTGTTTGTTTTTTCCCCTTTCAAAATCCATCCAGATGACCTGACTTAACTTTCTTAGATTTTTCTACCTGGATTATTGAGCATGCATCAGGATCTTTAGGCTTGTTGTTGCTCCAGAAAAGATTATCATGCTCTTCAAAATATTAAATCTTGGAGGTGAGTTTAACACATTTGTGTGAGTAAAATAATCAAGTCTACAACTTATCTAGATGTGAAACTTCAACAAATTAAGGCCCAAAGTATAGACTGAAAAACTTGTTTAAAATCTTGACCCCTCAGTCGTGTCCAACTTCCGGCCTGTCTCCAAACTCCCATTTGTTTCTAAATTACTGGAGAAAATAATCGAGTCCCAGTTGAAGTGCTTCCTGGAGGGTCACGCCATCTTAGAACTATTCCAATCTAGCTTTAAACCTCTCCACAGCACTGAAACTGACCTGCTGAAGGTCTTTAATGACATTTTCTTAACCACTGATACTGGTGATTCTATGCTGCTTGTCCTATTGGACCTCACAGCCACCTTTGACACCATCGACCAGGAGATCCTAGGTTAGAGCAGTGGGTGGGCATCACAGGGTCAGCCCTCAATTTGTTCAGATCTTACCTCACTGACAGATCCTTTTGTGTCTCCATCAAGGATTTTAGTTCTGCTGCGGCAGAGCTTAAATGGGGGGTTCCGCAGGGGTCCATCCTGGGTCCCCTCCTATTCTCTCTATACCTGCTGCTGCTTGGTGCTATTTTCCAGAAACACAACATGCCCTTCCTCTTCTATGCCGATGACTGTCAAATTTACTTCCCCCTAAGACACAATGGCACATTCTCTATTCAACCTCTGCTCAACTGCCTGGCTGACATCAGGGACTGGATGGCTTTAAACTTCTTAAGTTTCAATGAAAAGAAGTCTGAAGTCATGTTGTTCCCTCCCAATGACACGATCACAAACCACTGCATCGACCTTTCCGCTCTAACCCTGTCAGAAAAACAAAGAGTCACTAATCTGGGCGTGATAATGGACCCTTCCCTGAAACTTAACAATCATGTAAACATGATTGTTAAATCATGTTTCTTCCAACTGAGGCGGCTGTCTAAACTGAAGCCCATATTGTCCAAAAATAACCTAGAGACAGTAATACACGCATTCCTTACATCTAGGCTTGATTACTGCAATTCGCTCCTGTTTGGTATCAGTCAGACCTCCATTGCACGACTATAACTGGTCCAGAATGCAGCAGCCCGATTTTTAACCTGTACAGGCAAAAAGAGCACATTACACCAGTTTTGGCCTCCCTGCACTGGCTACTGGTTCACTTTCGAATCCAGTTCAAAATACTCATGTATGTCTATAAATCACTGAATAGTTTCGCACCCCCCCAATCTCTCGGATTTGCTACAATCGTATGTCCCACCACGTTCCCTGAGGTCAGCGGACCAGTTGTTCCTCACAGTTCCAGGCACTCATCTTAAGCGCAGAGGTGACAGGGCCTTCTCTGTAGCAGGACCAAGACTCTGGAACGAGTTACCTCTGCTTGTCAGACAAGCCCCCTCCCTCTCGGTTTTCAAGTCCCGTTTAAAAACTCACTACTATTCAGTAGCTTTCAACACCAGAGGATCTGTATTTTGAACCTGCGCTCCACACTGGTTTGTCGTCATTATCTGCATCGTATTTATGTCTATATTTCTGATTTACTTCATTGTGTATATTGCTTTGTGTGTTTCCTGTTGTTCTGTCTGTACAGCACTTTGGTTGGCCTTGTCGCTGTTTTAAGTGCTCTATAAATAAAATGGTATGGTATGGTAAAAGTAAAGCAAACTCTGTCACTTGACTTCTTTATCTGTTGTGTCAAAGGGCAGCCACCTTAATCACACATTTGATTTGCAAGGAACATGTGATGTGTAAAATCAACAGCTGTCCCAGATCCATACAGCAAAAACAAAAAATGTTGGTAAATGAACTGTACAACAAGGCTCAGTGTGAATATCAGAAACACAGTTGTGTGGATCATGTTTGCATATCAGTCATTGATAAAAGTGAGGATATGATTTGTTGTTTGAAAACAGAAAGCCCTAATACATGATTTAGCAAATACTGAATAAACAATCCATGCCGCTCATGCAGGCTCATCCATCAATCATCCAGTTGTGTGTCATGTCCAACTTTACTTGGAAAAACCACCAAAGAGCGAGTCCAAAAAAGTCGAACAGCGAATTAGCGAGGGACTACTATATATAACACGACTGTGATTGAGAGAAATTTAAAAAACAATTATCTGACAGAACAGAGAAAACAATGTACTTTCATAATAATGGAACATCATATGTATACAATCAGGGAGCACTTTGTTAGAAAGCATAACTCACTGAAATGTGCCAAAGTGAATGGTGACCCTTCAAAATAAAACAGGAAGTGAACTGAAGAAGTCACAGAAAAATAAGAGACAAACACAACAATATTCAAGTTATCAACCAATATTCAAGTTAACCCACAGACAATAACAAATAAATGTTTTTCTACATTAAATGCATTTAAAACATGTCATAAAACACACACGGAACAGGAATCTCTGAATGTGACAGAACTTCCTGTTTTTGCTCATGTTCAGTCATTTTCTCCTTTGACTGAGGGTTTAGATTATCAGCTGTCGAGGGATTGGAATTTAGGACAGCTGCACAGTCCAAAGAAATCCGGAAACATGTTGGAGGGTATTTTTGAGTCCTCCACTTCAGTCTCACTGTTTGGGCTCTTTGTTGCTCTGCTGGTTTTCTTCCACTTTTTTATCTCCATCTTCAGTTCCCAAGAAAGACGAGAACCTCCAGGACCCAGACCTCTTCCGCTGTTTGGTAATCTGTTCCAGCTGAATCTAAAGAGACTCAGCCAAAATCTTTATGACGTGAGTAAGCTAGTGTTGGCATGAAACCAGTGTCCACATTAGAGACACGACATGTTTTTCCAGTGATTTTAAAATCACCAAGTTCTTTAGTCTTACTGTTCTAGCAGTTTAAATGTCTGCAAAGGGAGATGGCAGCAGTGATTTGTCCTTCACTTCCTCCATCGTCTGTTGCAGCCAGCTGTCACTCAGCCTTTTTTAACTTTTGGCTCAGATTTTCCACCTCATTAGAAATGACTAAAGAAGTCAGCTGTTTGAACAGATTTAAAATGTTCATGTTTTGTGTAAGTGAGGGGTGGGGATGGGGGGATTCAACCTTTTATGGCAGTGTGAAGTAAAGAAAAAAGAAAGAAAAAATAAGCAAATAGAAGAAGGGTCTGGACTGTGGGAGTTGGAGTTGTGTTATTTTGACAAATAATCGCTGTTGTTTTGATGCGTGATTAATGTGAAACAACCTGTTGTTGCTCTCTAAAATAGTAATTTAATCATCCATCCATCCATCCATCCATTATCTTTACCCGCTTATTCCATTTTGGGTCACGGGGGTCACTGGTGCCCATGTCCAGCAATCACTGTGCGAGGGGCGGGGGACACCCTGGACGGGTTGCAAGTCCATCACAGGGCCACATAGAGACAAACGAGACAAACAACCATTCACTCTCTCATTCACACCTAGGGACAATTTAGAGTTACCAATCAGCCTAACATGCATGTTTTTGGTCTGTGGGAGGAAACCGGAGCACCCGGAGAAAACCCACGCATGCACGGAGAGAACATACAAACTCCACCCAGAAAGGCCCCTGGACTGGGGTTTGAACCAAGGACCTGCTCGCTGAGAGGCAGCAGCTCTACCAGTTGCGCCACCGTGCTGCCCGTAATTTAATCAAGTGTTTACAAATGTAGGTAAACATACAGTAGATGTTTAACAACCGGTTAAATTAGGCTTCACCAAAATGTAGGAAATAGCTTCTACTTTATTTAAAAAAAAATAAGGGGGAGGAGGACCAGTGTTGCCAGATCTCGCGATAGAAACAAGCAACCAGCTTTATGAAAACAAGCCCAAAAAAGCCCAACTGGCAACCCACTACATTGTGTAAAACAGAGGCCGTTTTTAAACAGTATAAGCATACATAAACTACACATAAACAACAGCAGAATTATGAGAAACACTTTGAATAACATAATTTAAAACTTTGATAAAAAAAAAAATACATTTTGCATATGTAATTTTTTCTACATACTTTTAAAAACAAAACATCCTGACATCTGCGTGTGAGTGAAGCACCCTAGTGGTAGGCCACAGTATGAGTGTTTGGGGTGCGTGCCCACAGACGTCTTTGTATATGTCTATGTGTGCACCTGTCTCCTCACCAACTTGGGTGGGAGCGATAAACAGGAAACGGGTGTGGAAGGGACAAACTACCTACTACCACTCATCTTTTGCTTTATTGTGCGGAGCTGTAAGATAATCAAATAATAATAATAATAATAATAATAATGATGTGCTATGTGTTGTCATCATTGTATGTTCCCTCACAAAGATGAAATTGACTTTCTGCATTTAACCCATTGCACCTGGGATATACCCAGGTGGAGCAGTGGGCAGCTATATAAGCACCCAGGGAGCAATTCGGGTGTCCTGCTCAGAGACACTACAAGATGTGTAATGAATCCAGGACATTCGGGCCCTGAGTCAGCTGATCTGCCCCTACACCATCTAGTTTCACTTGGAAAGAAAGTCAAGCCCAAATAAGTAGGGATGCTCCGATCCACATTTTTTAACTTCTGGTCCGATCCTGATACCCAAATCTGGATCTAAAAAAATCTAACTAAATCTGGATATTGACCGATACGATCCTGTTTCATCATAATTATTGATTTTATATGAGGCTGTAATAATCTCCTCTCAAGTACAATTTGTACAAATATATGCATGTCCAAAAAGGCAACTTGAGGTAAGTTTTATTAATGCTGGATAAGTTTCAAAGTTAGAGTGAAATTCTGCTAACACAAAATGGTTTTTTTAATTCCTAGCTTTTAAAGTAGATATTAAAGTGATTAATTTAAGTCATTTTCTACAACTGATAGCGGTTGGTCATTAATTACGATGAAGTTCAGCAACTTCTCGGTAAACATTTGAGCTCCGCTGCTTCAGCGGCGTGTTCTTCTTGTTCAGTCCGAAGCAGGCAGTCTGAATTCGGTCAGCCGTGCTCAGTCTATCCCTCCTCTGAGACGAGCAGACTGAACTGGGCAGATTGGGCACGGTTGGCCGGGGTCGGGCTGCCTGCTTCGGGTTGAGCGAGAGGAGTGCTCCGCTGAAGCTACAGAGCTCGAATATCCAACATAAAACTAACTTTACCACGTGGTGCTATGGCTCTTCAGACATTGCACATTGCTGTCTTGATTTGTGGTGTTTCTAGTGTAAAATACTTCCACACAGTGGACATGTTTTGATTAAAATTTGGTTAGCTGTTAGCCACAGTGCTGCTCACTCAGTCCTCACATTGTAGCTGCCTGCAAACTATGAAATGGATTTCCAGAATGTGAGGTGGGTCTTATTACTCTGGGTTCATGAGACACGCCTCCGTTCAAGAAATCCATTCCATAGTTTGAAGCCAACATGCAGAGCAGCTGGCAGGGAATCACATGAGAAGTTTCAGCAGACACAGACATGCATCATGAATCGGAAATCTCTGCAGGTTGGTTCGGAAAATCCGATACGTAAATTATGCTGTCATCGGAGGCCGATACCAATACTGAATTGGATCGGCCCCATCCCTACAAATAAGCAACTTCACATTCAAAACAAGCCCAAAAACACTGCAACCCGCGACTCACAAGATTTATAAGCAACTTTAGAAAAAAACAAGCCCAAAGTCGCTTATAATAAGCAGACTTGGCAACTATGAGGAGGACCCACAAGCCCCCTCCACTTCCCCTGCTCCCCCCAGTCAGACAGATTGTTTACAAATGGAGGAAAAAGTTACCCTCCCGAGAGGTCGACTAACAAAGATCACTCCAAGAACAAGGCATGTAACAGTCAGCGGCATCACAAAGGACCCCAGGGTAACTTCTAAGCAACTGAAGGTCTCTCTCACATTGGCTAATGTTAATGATCATGAGTCCACCATCATGAGAACACTGAACAACAATGGTGTGCATGGCAGGTTTGCGAGGAGAAAGCCACTGCCCTCCAAATAGAACATTGCTGCTCGTCTGCAGTTTGCTAAAAATCACGTGGACAAGCCAGAAGGCTTGGAAGAATGTTTTGTGGATGGATGCAACCAAAATAGAGCTTTTTGGTTGAAATGAAAAGCATTATGTTTGGAGAAAGTACTGCATTGCTGCATAAGAACCTTATCCCATCTGTGAAACATGGTGGTGGAAGTATCATGGTTTGGGTCTGTTTTGTAGCATCTGGGAGGGGATGGCTTGCCATCAGTGATGGACGAATGAATTCTGAATTATATCAGAGAATTCTAAAGGAAAATGTCAGGACATCTGTCCATGAACTGAATCTCAAGGGAAGGTGGGTCATGCAGCAACACAACCAGAGACTCTACTTCCTCAGGTGGCTGAGACGAGATGGTCTGGGAAGCTCAGTCCTCACCTCCTTCTACAGGTGTGCAGTGGAGAGCATCCTGTGCTCCAGCATCAACGTGTGGCATGGAGGCTGCACAGCTGCAGAAAGAAAAGCTTTGCAGAGAATGGTGAAGACTGCACAAAAGACTGTTGGAGTCAGTCTCCCCACCATCAAGGACATCTACACCTCCAGATGCAGGAAGAGGGCCACCTGCATCATGAAGGACCCCACTCACCCAGCACACACTTTTTGCCCCGCTCCCCTCAGGAAGGAGGTTGAGGAGAATTAAGTGTAGAACCACTAGAGTGAGGAACAGCTTCTACCCTGAGGCTGTTAGACTCATGAATCTCTAACCAGAATAATCACTGTGAAAAATCACATCATGTTGCTGCTGATCTGTTTCAATGTTGCTGCTGATCTGTTTCATGTTGATGTGTTCATGCGTGCTCATCTGCTCACACAGACTCATGCTCATGTTCATGCTGCTGTTTGACGTAATGTGTTTATGCTATTAATGCTTAGTGTATTTTTAGTTGATATTTCTTAGTTCATATCTTAGATGTTATTGTTTTTCTTTTACATTTTATTGTTGCATGTAACTGGGACCCTGTATACATAATTTCATTCCACCACATGTACCACATGTGGTGTGAACAGCAATAAAGAATCTCTGACTCGGACTCTGACTGACAATGACCCTAAACACACAAGTGGATCTACCAAAGATTAGTTAAAGAATGACCAAATCAAAGTTGTGGCCTTAACCTAATCCAGATGTTGTGGAAGGACATGAAGTGAGCAGTTAATGCGAGGAAACCCACCAACATCCCAGAGTTGAAGCTGTTTTGCATGGAGGAAATGGCTAAAATTACTCCAAGCTGGTGTGCAGGACTGATCAGCAGTTACCAAAAATTTGTAGTAATACCAGAATTAGTTGCAGTTACTGCTGATACCAGATACTGAAAGTAAAGTTTCTCATATTTTTGCCACTCACACGTAATTTTGGACCATTTTCCTCAATAAATAAATGACCAAGTATAATATTTTTCCTTATTTGTTTAACTGGGTGTTATGGTCCTGATAAGTCCAGGGGTAAATGGTAGGACACACAACATATGAAGCCCAGACGATTGTAATTTAGACCAAAGTTTTAATCACAAATCCTCTGAAGAAAAACGACAAACTGTGTGAGCCCCAGTAAAAATAAACAAAAATAGGGAGCCCCGAACCAGTCAGCAGCTGACCATTGGATTCAGGCCGCTCCCCTCACCCTATGATCCAAGGACTGTCCCTACAACCATCCATCCATCCATCCATTTTCTTTACCCGCTTATTCCATTTTGGGTCACGGGGGTCGCTGGTGCCCATGTCCAGCAATCACTGTGCGAGGGGCGGGGTACACCCTGGACGGGTCGCAAGTCCATCACAGGGCCACATAGAGACAAACGAGACAAACAACCATTCACTCTCTCACTCACACCTAGGGACAATTTAGAGTTACCAATCAGCCTAACATGCATGTTTTTGGACTGTGGGAGGAAACCGGAGCACCCGGAGAAAACCCACGCATGCACGGAGAGAACATGCAAACTCCACCCAGAAAGGCCCCTGGACCGGGGTTTGAACCAAGGACCTGCTCGCTGAGAGGCAGCAGCTCTACCAGTTGCGCCACCGTGCTGCCCGTCCCTACAACCAAAAACAGTAAATACAGTGAGAGCTGGTAACTCCCAGACCCATCAACTAACAGCTCAATAATTCAATGACAAGGTGCAACCAAAGGTATCTCATACAGGAACAGGAGAGAGTCTGGAGTGAAAATCCAACAACCATCAGAACAACATCATTCCTTCGGCCTCCCTCGCTCGTCCAGCAGGCGGAGCTTGGTCCTCTTAAACCACTTCCAGCCAATCAGCTGTTCAGATAGAAGAAATGGATAAATTAGACACACAATGACATAAATGGCATAGGGACATGTCATGCTGGGTTCTCTTTATCTACTTTTAGGACTTATATGAAAACCTGATGATGTTTTAGGTCATATTTGTGCGGAAATGTAGAAAATTCCAAAGGCTTGACAATCTTTCAAGCACCACTGTATATATATATATATATATGAACGAGTTGTAATTGGCAATGTCATCTTTAAGCACCAGCAATAAAAAATTGTTAGAAGCAATTTATTTATGCACTATAATAGTATATTTTTTGTTCAAAGATTTTGTTTTAATAATGTGAGACCTTGATACTAGTATTTTTACTCGGCATTAAATGGTGAAAAATTATACCGGCTCACAATTATTACAGCCTGATTTTGTTTGTTTGTTTGTTTGTAAACTGTGCCTTTTTTTAATTTTTTTTAGCTTTCCAAAACATATGGACCAGTTTTTCAAGTCTCCTTTGGACCAAAGAAGGTGGTGGTTCTGGCAGGTCACAAGATAGTCAAACAGGCTCTGGTGAACCAGGCTGAGCAATTTGCAAGCAGAGAAATCACTAAAGCTTTTTATTATATCAACAAAGAACATGGTAAAAGAAAGCATTTTTCAATTTTTGTAATATTTTCATCCTTATAACACACTGACTCGGTCTGTTCTCAGGTATCATACTGGCCAACGGGGACTCGTGGAAAGAAATGAAACATTTTGCTCGGACAACTCTAAAAGATTTTGGCATGGGCAGAAAAACAAGTGAAGAGATAATTATTGAGGAATCTGTCAACCTGATCAAAGAGTTTGAACAGTTTCAAGGTAACAAAGGTTTCAAATCTTTGCAGAGCTACACACAATGAAACAGTGACACTTATGACACCAACACAGAAATGGGTCATTTTATAGTTCTTTTCTCTTTAAATTTTTATAAACGTGTTTCCCCCCTCAACCTTGCCACAGGTGAAGCCTTTGACAACAGTGTGGCCCTGACTTATGCTACTTCAAATGTGATATCAGCTCTGATGTTTGGGAAAAGATTTGAATACACAGACCCATTCATAAAACAGATGGTGGAACGAAATCAAGAGACTATTCATCTGATGGGATCAGCCTCCGTCCAGGTATGTTAACAGCACTTTAGGATTACGAGTCAAATGTAATACGTAACATTAGCTGGTTTTTGACTGCTGGCTATGGAATATTTGTGAAATAAGTCCTAAGATGGTTTAGTTCTTTATACAGTTGACAGATACAAATAACTAAGATGTTTCCTGTCTTTTGTCCTTGATCATTGGTCGTGGCATTTTATTCTTCTAATAACTGCAAATGTGTCGACACAAACAAAAACACAATCTAAACTGTGTACGTGTGGGCAGACTCTGTGCCAGAGGGTGGGCCGGCTGTGCTGGGTCCACCCATTCAGGTACACCCCCAGAATGGAAGACTGAGGAGGTCAGTCGCTCAGTAAGCTGTGCAACTGAGCAACAAACGAAAAGTCAAGAAGTCTGCAAATGTTTCTATAAAAATTACAATATGTTTATACATCTGAACTATTTTATTAAGGGTAGGTTGACAATAACATGGCTCAGAACCATTTGAGTCAAGATTTTGAGGAATTATTGCTTGATAAACTTAACAGATACGATATGAAAAATATACAGGGTAATATGTAGTAAATTTGCTAACTTCAGTGACAGAGCAAAAGCTGGTTAACACAGGTTAACCAGGTAAGGTTAACACACAACAATTCTTCTTTAGACTTTTCCCTCTTCAGCAGTTGCCACAAGCGAGTCATCCTCCTCCATCTCACTTTGTCTTCTGGGTCCTCTGTCCTTTCTCCAATTACCTTCATGTCCTCGCTAACTGCATCCATATATCTCCGCTTTGGCCTTCCTTTTAGTCTTTTTCCTGGTAGTTGCATTTCTAACATCCTTCTACCAATATACCCACTGTCCCTCCTCTGGAGATGTCCAAACCATCTCAGTCTGGTCTCTCTAACTTTATCTCGCAGTTGTTCAACCTGTGCTGTACCTCTGATGTGTGAGAATCTGTGTTCTGTTTTGTGTCACTTCTTTACATCCTTGTTTATGTGCGTGCTTCTAGCCTTTCCCAGTGTTTCTTCCTTCATGTTGCCAGCCCCTGCTTCATCTGTTCCCAATCCCAATCACCCCAGGTGTTCATCATTATGTCTCATTAGTGTCCCTTTAAATTCAGCATCTTTGCGTGTCCTGGTTGTCTGTGTATCGTGCTTCCCACAACTTGTCATGTTCTGTTCCTCTGTTGTCCCCTTCATTCACAACTTTTACTGCCCAGTCAGATTAGTTTTGTTTTTGTTTAAATAAATAGATACTCTTTATTTTACCTTGGAGTCTCCTGTCTGCCTGCACTTGCGTTCAAAACAAAAAAGAACATGTCACGATCCCAAAGTTCATGCTCATTAATCCAGGTATGAATCCAACAATGTTCAGTCAGGTCATCTGGACGGTTTCTTTTGTTGCTGAG